GCATGAGAAGAAATTGTTGCCTCTTGATCTATTTCCTAAATCAAGGATCCATCTCACTGTAAATTGCAAGAGTGTAATTCTGGCTGGTATAGTTTTCACAACTGTATATTTCACAATTAATAACATTTTAAAGCAAACACTAATTAAAAGCAAAGCAGAACAGAACTTAAATTCAGAAAAATAATGATCTATTTTCAATCTTTCTTCTGTTTTGTTTTTTTTTTTTGGTTTTTTGTACCTGGATATATCTCAGGCTAAGGTCATTGTCTACAAGAGCTAAGGATTCTTTTTAGTGTTGTTTTCCATCACTTATTTACATTCTTTTTATGTATTTAACATATTTAATAATATTTTGTTGCAATGATCAATATCTAATATATGCAATATTTAACCACTTTGAGAAAAAAGATAATTCACAGGTATATATTATTGTAAAAATTACCTGTAAGTCTTACAATACATCACATCTGTGTCAGTTAAAGGTTGAACATCTTTTAGAAACAGCTTATTCTGATACATTTCTTCCAATTTTGCCATGGTTTCCAGGTGAGCGTTCTTAAGTTCTTCCAGCTTTAAATAATATTCCTGATTTGAGAGGTACATGTTTGAGAGATCTAGCCAATCTTTACAATCAGCACACATGATGGAACTGTATTCTCTTCCTGGAGTTAAGGATTCCTAAAACAAAAGATGGGCATGTTTGTTTTAATTTTTTGAGAAAATTATATTAAATGATTGGCAATTTAATGAGTTTGGTGTCCTAAGGGCAGCTAAGAAACATGTAAGACTTCTCTATTTGCTTGGATTTGCAGAATAAAAGGTCCCAATGCTGATTAGCCCAAATTACTAACTTGACAAAGCCTAAAATCAACAGATAATTCTGGATGACAAATGGTTCAAAATTTCTGGCAAGTTAGTGCAGAGTATCTCCTATATATAAAGATCTGACACCTGAAGTTCTCCCATATGCCCAAGACAAATGCAGGCAATTTTTGGAACAGGCTTCTAATGCGTCAACAAAGAGGGTTGTTGTTTTTTTAATTAAAAGGGACTTTAATATCATAGTAATAGAATCCCCCAAATCTGTCAACCTGCAGAATTGTGTTAAGTGCTGCAAATGGTGCAAAAGGCATTTTCATTAAGAAAATTCAGGCGGCAAAGAAAAATTCTCAGGGATCTTGGAAGGGAGAAAGAGAGGAAAGAAATGCCTTCACTATCATATTTTCATCCTAGGTAGGAAGTTCTGGCTTGATAAGGCTGGAATCACATAGCATTCTTATCCAAATGGATAATCTACCCAGGATTCAATTAAACCGAATATGGGGTAAAATTAGGATTGGGCGAGGTTCTTTAAAGGAAGGGTAAGCTATAGAAAACAGGACGACCAGCAGCAAGGTGGATGCATTCAGTTACAGTAGCTTTGAAGGCACCGCTGGAATTGCTGAAGGATCACGTTAGAGTCAGTCGGGAGAAAATCTACTTACGTGATCGCTAAAAGCGACGGATGGCACCTAATCGTCATAATTAAGCTATTGTCGCGTTCTAACCGGCTGGGAAATGGCGCGCGCGACCCAAGGCGCTGGGGCAGGGGTAGGCAACCTCGGCTCTTTTATGACTCATGGACTTCAACTCCCAGAATTCCTGAGTCAGCTACGCTGACTCAGGAATTCTGGGAGTTGAAGTCCATGAGTCATAAAAGAGCCGAGGTTGCCTATCCCTGCGCTGGGGGATTTGAACGCCTCGTGAAGCCATTTCTGCAGAAATCCCGTCTCTCGATTCCACCTCCAGCCACCAGAGAGCAGGAGCAGCAGCAACCAGGGGACGGGGACGGCGGCGGCGGCACCAGCCAGCCTGCCTGTTAGCCAGCCAGCCAGCTACCTACCTGCCCTACGCCATCTTTCAACGAGGCTCTTTCTGATACCCGTTCATACAGCGCCGCCGGCGCTTTGGTGCGCGGGTTCACCGGCGTATGCAGGCAGGAGGCGGTGAGCAAAGCAGCTCGGTGGGATGCGTCCATGGGCTTCTCAAAGGACAGGAGGCCACAGCCGCCTCCTGCTAGCCTGGTTACCAAGCCCCTTCCTTGCGTGTTTGGTTGCTAAGGTTACTTGACTTAAGAGTCTTGAGACGCTACGGCAGGTGTGGGGAATGATGGCCCTTTTATGACTTGTGCACTTCGACTCCCAGAATTCCTGAGCCGGCTCAGGAATTCTGGGAGTTGAAGTCCACAAGTGATAAAAGGGCCATCGTTTCCCCACCTCTGCGCTACGGCATCTCGAACAGGACATGAACCTTCCACTCGTGTATAAAAATGCGTCTCCTTTGTGCAACGTTGCCGTGAATTCTTCGCCTCTTCCGAAACCTCCCCCGTCTTTTCCCATGTTAGAGGCATCTCGGGAAGAATTTCCGGAGATAATGGGAAAACCTAGAATTGCAACCATGCAGTATTTTAATGGTACAAGGTTATCAGCTCATATCAAAAGATGATTTTTTTAAAAAAAATTGGGAGTTGATGTGTGGGATTATTGAAGTGGATTTCTAGAAAAATTAGAAAACGTTATCATTTTCACATTAGAGATGCTAACTCTAAATCAAGGCAAGATTCTTAAGCTTGGTGTGCCTTTTGCCAAAATAGGATCCAACCAGAAAGGTAGATTTAATATGTTTTATGTATAAGTAAAAGATATCTCCCACAGGTACGAGAAGACCCTTAGAAAAGGAATAAATCACTTTATATACATTTCAAACATATGGTGTTGGAATATGTTAATTGGCCAGCATCATTTGAGTCATCAACCATCTAGAGAACATGCCCAGCAACTATAAATGTACCATGTAATAGTTTAGACTAGACTGAGCATCCCATATTTTTAGAAGGGTCTTGTTAATGATCAATTGAATATTCAGGGGATATGTTTTCCACATATCAGTTTTCAGGTTATTAATGTTCAAATTTCTGGACAATTCTTGTCTGTAGCTGGTATGATCTGGTTCTTATCAGAATTTCACATACTTGCTGTTACTTCAAAGAAAGTAGAAACATTAATCAAAGGCGCTGCCTGTTACTGAAGTTACTCAAAGAGGCCCCCTTCTCCAGCTACCATCAGAGTTTAAAAAATACAGTAATCATGAAAGAAAAAATAGGTTTAAAGTTAAATCTATTGCACTTACAAAACAACTGCAAAATTCAGAATTTCTAATCTTCATGAAACCAGAGACCTGTTATCAATGTTCCTTGAATTGGGAGGAAATCTCCGGGCACACAAATTAGATTTTACTAAGTACAAAATTTGAGTTAGATTGCAACAAGATATGACAAGTTATTGGAAACAGAAAGTCTGCCAACTGTTTTGCAAACCTAATATTGGTTTTGTTCCTCATCAAGGACAGAAATATTCTGGATCATATTTTTACAGTGTAAAGATTAAAATCGCCCCATAATATAATTCCCATATTATAAAAAGGAGTTGTAGTAAATAAAAAGTGGTTTATACTCACTAACACAAATTTTCAAGTTACCACCAATCATTCCTGGCAAAGTATTTATTGCTAATGATTTGGCTACTATTAATTAATTTCACTCACATGGATTATGTCAGCGAACTTAAGTCACCACTCAAGAAAATTACAATTTGAAGCTGCATTAGCTCTATTGTAATAAAATCCTTAGTCCCAATGGAAATACACTATGCTTTGCGCCATCTTAAACAACCACACTTGATATTTAGGGGCTGCTTTAATTTTCATATTATCCAGGCTCTGCTTTCAGAAGCAAATTCTTAACTCTCCCAAATTAAAAAAACCAATGCTTAGGTTCAGTCTCTAAGAAGTTATATTCAAGAGTGGAAGGTGGGGACACCTATAAATCTTACTTTCAGATCAAGTCATGTACCAGTAATCAGTTAATGCAGTGGTAATCTACAGTTACCTATAAGCTTGCAGTATTGTGACTTACATTGCAACCAGCTTTGTATACTGTAAAGCCCACTATCTAATTTTCAGATTATCTTTCATTTTAGTGCATTGTGCATTGACTCTTTATCATTTGCACATCAGTTTGAACAGAGCTATCAAACCTCTACATAGAGCATAATAATTTTGGCAGTCACATAAATGTGTGCTTTAGAACCAAGCTGCTTAGCAAAGGAGTTACTGGCCATAAACCGAGGAGTAACTGTATAGTTATATAAATATGAGCGAAAGACATTAAGATCACAGCTGAAAATCTTTTGTACTAACTCTTAAAATGTGAATTGAGATAACTGGATTGCTGTTAAAAATCAGACAGTAAAATGTTCAATCATTTTAGAAAGTTCCCTTTAATTTATTTATGAGCTCATTTTGTTTTAAAATTCTACAAAATATAGTATTTTTCCACTAGTACTTATCCCAATTCAATCCAAAGGATAATCCAAAAGCAGAATACCGTTCCTACTAACTTATATGAGTTCGAAGTGTTCCTACTGAAGGTTAGTTTTTCACAAGGTTTTCAGCCCAACGCTTCAGTAATCAATGTAACAGCACACAATCTCCTAAACAGCTTTGTTCAAGAACTTAATTGGTAAAACCACTAAAGAGGCCAAAGAAGCTCGAGTTTCCACAAGCAGCAATGTGGATGTAAATTCTGATGCCAAAGTGATACACGGACAATGACATCACACAAATGAAATTATTTTCTTGTGCCCTGATGTCAGAGTAGAAGTTGTAGCATTTGTTTCATGACATCACATGTGTGGTGATTTGTACCCATTCTCCCTGCTCATACTTATCCGGGAAATCTCTCCTGCATTAAAAAAAAATACACTAACAATTAAAAGAATAAAACACTGTCTGAAATGCCTGGTAAAGAATGGGTGAGAAAATTAGTACTTAAAAGACAAAATCCTTGCTGATTTAAACTGAAAAGCACATATTGAAATCAGTTTTAAAAAGGGGCACAATCATGACAACTTAAGCAGTTTTTAGCTGTGAAAGTTAACGATTGAAGAATTTAAACAAAGTCTGTTTTTTGAGGTTGAGGTTTTATTAACTTAGATTGACAGAACATGAACACAACCGCAAGCTAAGTAGGGGTCTAACGCAGTGCCTCTATAAAGGAGCCAAGTTCCAAACTTAGTATAGTGTACTAGTTTAGAGTACTGCCTCTTCCTTTAGTCATTTCATCGAGTGTTCACCTGTAAAAAAAAGACATAAGATATTATAGGAATAATATTAGTGCATAATTTGTCAACTTTCTTTCTCCATATAGTATTCTAAATTTTCAAAAACAATTGCACATGCCTAACTCTCCACATCAGATAACCATAATTATAATTACAAAATACTTTCACTTAACATACAATTATATTATAAGAAAAATCATTTTGATTTTAAAAATTAACAAAAATTAGATAAAAAGGACATTGGAGCAATTAAAAGAATGTTAAATAGCTTACCACATCATCAATCTTAAGAATGCTACGAACTGTTTCTGTAGCTAGGGTGAGAGCACTGATTGATACCAATAAAGGCTGGACCACCAGCTCTTCCAAGATATTTGAAATTCCACCCTACAATTTAAAAATCACAATATCAATGTACTAACAATTATCAGCAAGCATCTTACATATATCATATTTTCTAAGAGCTTTCATTATGTGTTTAAGGTAAATACATTTATACCTTTTCAAATGTCTAGACTAAAAGATACTCATCCAGTATGCAACCTTTTCTCAATATGCTGTACCTATCAGCAAAATTAAAACATTTCTAAATACACACACACACACACACACACACTATGCAAAAGTACCCAGTCTGACCTGCTTATCCAGCAAAGGAATGACCCCATTTATGACTGAACTCTTTTTTTCCACTGAAATCAGAACTGCCAATATGAAATTGCTGTTACACAAATCTATGGTGAGGATATCCTTAAAGTAGTGGCTATAATTCTTACTTTAAAAGGGGATATTATAGAGCTTAAAAATACAAAAAATGGCAGCCAAAACTCCTAAGAGGTAGAGGAGGTCCGCTGTGAGAAATGTTATGTGTGTTATGTGTACACATATATGTGAAGATACTAACATCATTAGAAATTACATATTAAATCTGTAAGAGATGGAGTTTTACAACTATGAAAAAAACTTCCATATTGTCAAGTGATTGTAGTTTCTCAACATCAGCAGCTCATTTTAATTCTGTTTAGAACTGCAAACCAAAACCAAGTATGTAATTCTTGGGGAGTGACATTTTTTTTAAAGAGAAAGAGCAATAAGAATACAAGATCACTGAGCTTAAAGGTTATTGTTAGGTGTTTCAAACTAATGGCACTTTTCAAATTAAATAAACATTCTGACAACTTTTTCCCATATTTAAAATAGAGAAATAATATAATATTAACCTTAATTGCAGAGAGGATTAGCAGTTTTGTTTATATAAATAAATACAAAGAGAAAGTACAGCCCAAATAGGAACAGAGTTTCCTTGAGTCTTTTTGCAGGAAATAAAAGTTTATTAGGCCTATTTTATTGCCAATGAAGTAGAATGAAGAATCACGCCAACTTTATTAAATTATGCAAACCAGATCAACAAGAAGTCAACACTTCCTCACTTTTACTTATTAACATAATTTAAAAGATTTAAGGAAGCTATTTTTTGTTGACATATACCAATTACTCTCTCTAGCTATGTGATTGTCATTTTCATTGACATATCAAAAATCCATAGAAGGAAATATTAGATGTAGGACTATCTAGCTAAAATTCAGCAGGAGGCAGCTCCTAGCCAGCTCTGCTTATGTTCAGAATCTATGCTCCTTCTGATGGTGTGGGAAGGGTGGGCCAATTCCTTTGGGGTGAGGTGGTTCCTCAGATAACCTGGACCCCATGCCATGATGGACTTTAAGGTGATAACCAACACTTTGAATTGGACCCGGATGCAAACTTATACTTAGTAATACTACATATTTTAATTAGCTCACTAGTGAAGGGACTACTGAAAAGGAAATGTTAAAAAAATCCCTCCCACTGTTTTCCATTCCCATTAAATTATGCATAATTCAATATTTCTTTTCTAATGAAATATCCCTTCTCAAAATAAGGCCTTTAATTAAGAGGAATTTAATTCATGAGGAATTAGTGTGGATGTTCTAATGTATGATGTAGTAACCCCGTGCTAAGCACACACTTGACTAATTGTTGGAGAGTGACTAAAACCCAGCCTCTTTGCCTGTTATAAGCAAGCACAACTTCAACTTCTCCATCAAGATTGATGTCACTGATTTACATTGATCAGATAGGTTTGAAGCCACATATACAAGCATCAGAAGCAGTTTTGGATGGCCAATAAGAGACATATGAAAATGACTATCTGTCTGAATAGCAGCTATTGTAAAACAGCAGATAAAATCCACGAGTTATACTGAAATGTTGCCATTCTTGTGCCTTTGTGCACTTTATTTTCATGCATGAAATGTTCAAGTTGCATTACAGTTCAAGCTAGAATGCTCGACTTCCATAGCATCAAGGGCAAAAATAGCCTTCTTTGTTGAAATGCCAGTTGCAAAAATTCTGTGTGTATTAGAAAGAAGCATCAGGACAGAAGTCAGAGACATGTATTTCAGTTGCTATTATGCTGTTTGTGGGATCTGTTGAAGTGAACTGCTTCTTTGCTGCGTTTGTATAGGCACGCTACAAAAAAAACATTCAGTCACAATTTCCATTGCGGGAATTTGAAAAATACTTCAATTATATTGCCTCTTGCTAAAATGTCCAATATTCTAAGAGCAAAAAAGGATTTTATTTCACTGACATTTCTAAATTGGGTCACTCTTCAAAAAACCAATACAATATACCCATAAACCTAATGCACTTCTTTGCATTTGCTGCAATTTAGATTGTAATTTCAAGATGAGCAATCCTCTGAATTATGCATTATGCAATAAACATGAAAAATAGTGAACTCCAAAAAGGCAGTTTTCCAAATGTGGTATATCACTTGTTTTATTAGCTTGCAGATTACCTTTCTGACATTAATGCCAGCAGTTTTCTCTCCTTGTGCATGTCTGTTTCTCAGCTCTGTAACAGTGGATATCGGATTAAGGCCCGCATTTTCAGCCAGGGTGGATGGAATAATTTCCAGAGCCTCTCCATAAGCACGAACACAGTAAGATTCCATGCCACTTAAAATACGAGAATATTCATTCAAGCGTAATGCCAACTCTATTTCTGGTGCTCCACCACCTGCAATTAGCGCTCTGAAATTAAAATTAAAATGCAACTTGAAGTGTACTTTGCTAACTTGAATGATGATTTTATTGGTCCAAAAATGATGCAGTACCTTTTCTTGACCAAACAACGGACAACACACAAAGCATCATGAATGGAACGCTCAGCCTCTTCGATCACCAGTTTATTAGACCCTCGTACCACAATTGTTACAGTTTTTCCAGGGCTAGCACAGCCTGTAATCTGAAATACAAAACAGGCACCATACTGAATATTCAGATAAGAAAGCTTACTGCCTTTGGGGGTAAGATTTGGTTTTGGGATCAGATTTTAGAACTATGAAAGCACTAATGACAACAAAATGGCAGTTTTCGTTTCCTTTAGTTCTTGGCAAGGAGGGCTTTTTTTCCGTTATCCTACAGCAGACATGTCAAACTCGTGACATCACGTGACATCGCATGACGTATCAGGACTGTTTTGACATTGCCGGCAATGGGGTGGGCGCGACTTCCGCGTGACGTGTCCGGCCTGCAGGCCGGCAGTTTGACACCCGTCCTACAGAATCCATTCAAATCCAGTTTGAAAAAATTGCTTTAACTTCAGAACAAAGTAGACTAGACTTATCCTACCTTAATTAGCTTTCCAGATCCATTTAAATTCACTTCTTCTGCAAGTTCGGCAGATCCCAGCATCTCACCAGTGAACTGATCAATATGAGCAACTGGCTTAGTTCCAATTGTCTTTTTAAAAAAAATACACAAACACACCTTAGGTTAAATATGTAAAAAAAAAAAATTCAGAATGTTCTATATAATGTGCCAGCAACTGGAAATCAAAAGGTAGGTAAACTTCCCAAGCGGATCTTAAATCTACTCTCAGGTCTGAACACAAACCAATGTGCATACGCTCCATGAAGACACAGTTTCCCCATCTCCAAATAACCATAAGCATACACTCTTGCTTATTTGCCCATACACAGGGAGGCAAATATACTCTTACATGCACAAGCAGCCTCTCTTCACCTCGAGACATGATTTTTGCTCAAAGGAGAGGAGAGGAATGCAAAACTGTAGCTATTTCATTCTTTTAAAAGCAGGGGCAAACTGCAAGACTGAGGGAGTAAGGAAAACGCCTATTCATTTACCTACCCATCACTGCCACCTTGTCCTCTATGAAAACACATATGCTGGCCCTATTCAAGAACGTAACCACGTGTACTATTTTAAAGTACTCAGCGCTGAGTCAAATCTATCAGATGCTTCACAGATGTGAACAAAGTAGTCCAAAGAAGCAATATAGTGGCAGAGACTTCAAACTACAATATCTGGGCTGATTATTTGATTATGAATGAGCTTCTGGCTCATTCAGTTTGCTTATAACTAAGGAATTAAGAAAATGCATTAATGTGGAAAATACATGCATTTGTAACTTCAACTGACTAGCTGATTGTAAGAGCACAACTGAGGTGGCAGAGTGTGAACAGTCCTACAAAGCACATATGAATAAATTGGTAAATATATGTGCACTTAAAAGTACTATACTACTGAATCTCAATCTATTTGTCTAGCAATAAGACCCATTAAATTATGCTAATGACAGCTTCTGAACTGATGTTAAGATTATTCTGTAAAAGGTCTTAGAAATCTTTAGAGACGCTACCTTTGTAATGAGATAGCTATTTTACAATATGTTTTTTATTATAGCATAACAAATGTCAGGACAGATTCATTCACTGTAACAATCAATTTCAATTCATGGTTACTCATGATACTGTCAGGATTACATTCCATGACGTAAGAATTCATTCATTTCAAAAACCCTCTATTATCTCACCTTACATATAAATTCAATGTCTTCTCTTTCAATATCTTTGATCACCATGATCTTCATTTTGTTCAGGAAATGTAGAGCCAGATCACTTAGAGCATCCCTACAACCAATACATTTGATGGGGTTTATTAATATATATCATCACGGCAAAGCGTTATCAAAACTATTCTAGCATAAAATTATTTCAAAACTTCAGAACAGAATTTTGTTTTCTTCCTATTCTAATAAGAGGCTATCAAATATGGGTTTCAGATATATCCCAAGCCTTCTGGAATCATGAAAATAATTCTTGATTGGCTCCTCTAACTCGAGTCATAGCACATTACCATATATAGTTCTTCCACTACTATAGTGCTAAAAAAAGGTCTCTTTTCATTATTTCTAGCTTTAGCAAACTCCAGAGAGGGTTGCATAAGACATATATTAACTACGACAAGAACAATTTTAAATCTAAGTAAAAGCTCTAGTTAAAAATGAATGAAATATGAACTATTGAAATAACCATACCGTAAAATGGATTTTTGAATGAGTAGTACATTACAACCCGTCTTCTTAATTTGCTTAACTAAATTCAGAATGTACGCTCTCTCTTCACGCAAGACTCTATCCATTTGGGTGTAGTCAGAAACAACAATCTGGTTATCCATCTAGCAGAAAAAATTAAAAAGTATTTCAGTATACTTGTACATAATGGACAATTTAATAGCTATGCCACAAGCCAATCACCTGAACAGTCCAAATACAGGTTTTGAAAGTAATAAATTAGCTGTTTTTTGTGTTTTTTTAGGCACAAAAAGTATCCATTTTTAAGCATTAGTTTTTGTCAGTTTGCTTCACTTCTTCTATAGAACACATTAGATTGCCTTGAGTGGCTTCCAAAAGACAATTCTTTTAGTCGATGGATAAATAGTGATTTTCACCAATAAAATACAGTTAATAGACTGAATTTTAACTTGTAACTTCTGTCAATTTCCTATCCCCATAAATCTGCTGTAGCTTGTTATGGATAGTTGCAGAAAAGGAAGAATGTATGAGACAATGCCAACTTGCATATTATTGTATTCAGTCTTATGTTAACAGGACTGCTTAAAACGAATTGGACAAATCTTGCTTTGTGAACTTAATGTATTCTTTAATGAGTGCAGAAAGTCAATCTGCAATACAATCTTACATGCTGTTTAGTTTTTAACAAATCAAAGACAAGATCAATATTTTGGAAACATTTTTTAAGTTCAAAGTTACAACAGCACTGAAAAAAGTTTGAATGGTCACAAAATAAACTGTTGTAAGTCTAGGATTCCCTATAATTTATTCAAAAGAACAAATTAAGCAACTTACATCTGTTTTTGGAGCAGATAAGCAAAACTGAATGAGCCCTATTTTAGCTTTTTCCACTCTGGTTACTCCAGTATTGGCCACTTTTTGTGTGAGGACCAGCCCTTCAACGAGTTCACAGTCATCAATTGTGCCCCTGAAAATAAATACTCAGTAAACAAGCAATACTAAATAAAGATACAAATAAAAATTCAGAATTTGACTAATTCTTACCCAAGTTTTTTAACAATTTTAATGTCTCTAAGATCCACGCTGCTAGCTGTAGTTGGATCTATCACCTTCATCACAGCTTCAACACTCATTGGAGAAAGGAGACTAGAATACTGCGATACAACCTGAAGGATCAGTAAAGATTTATTTAACATGCCTTTTGTTTGTCCAATGTATAAGAATTTCACACTTTACTTTTTAAATTATTCAAAACTGCAATAGGGATTAATTTATCCAATTGTTTTAATAAGATAAATGGTTTAAATAGAACTTAAGCCACAGCATCCACCTGACTCTCAATAGGTCTTCTGAGCAAGGCCAGTGAAGATTAATATTCAAGACTGTTGGTAAATAGCTGAATTCCAAGGGAACAGCTGCAAAGCTTCCTTTCCTACAATTCCCATTATGGATGTATGGTTCTTCTTTCTTTCATGTATGAAATGGCAACAGCATCTCCAAATGAATACATTTTGTCTGGACAAATGAATCGAACAAGGCAAAAAACTTCTATGTTTAATTATTTTATTTTTTAACAGAAAAAAAAATTGGTAGCAATATTAGATAGACCAGGTAAGGGAACAGACAACATTCTAATGAGACAGAGAGAAAGCATCTTTCTCATTCATTTCTTTAGTTTTGTGCCATGATTTCTAGAGACTCTCATAACTGCATCTTAGCTATAAGTGCCAGGGTAAATTTGATTTAAATCAAGTCGATTTAAATCACAATGTAAAGAGGCTTGATTTAAATCAACTCGAATTAAATCATAATTTTTAAACAGCAACTGTCATCTCTGTCCCGCAGCGGCTCCTCCTCCAACCCGCTGTTGAATCACTGACAGTCTCATTCACTTTAATGGGACAGTTGGTGATGAGGCAGTGGCACAACAAGGTGAGGGATGTGGCAGGCAGAGGTGAGTGGATGCCCGCTAACAGACGCTGCCATGATGGATCTGAAATGACAGGTGCTCTTTAAACGTAAGAATTCATTCTTGCTGGTAGTTAGAATCTTTAATATTATTATTTGCAAACAAAATGAAGGTTTCCATTTAGAATAATAAGCTGTCAGGTAGGTAAAACAGCGATATCAGAAATGATTTTAGATTAATAGGTTAATCACGCATAGTTGGAGAACTACTCCAATTCTTTTATTTAATTAAAATATTTAGAGCCTGGTACACATGCATTTCTCTTCAAACAATCATACAGTTTGTAGTGTACATACATTTGCAAAACAATGGGATAAAGGAATATTCCTGAACTTTAATGATTTATCTCATGGTTACTGCGAAACTGTGTGAATGCATTAATGCAGTGCATGTTATCTCATTTTGCAGAGCTTGGATTCACTGAATGAGTTTACCAAAAATGTAAATATTGCAGAATATACAGCCTCATGCTACATAACTAAGCTCCATTTCATGCTGAATAAACTAAATTATTAATACATCTTAAATAGAAAACTATATTTAGATAGATTTTTACTTCAGAAGCATTTTATTAAAATAAATTTGATAAAAAAACAAACCCGATTTAAATAAAAAAGAATCCGATTTTTTTTTTAAAAAAAATCATCAATTATTATCCATCCCGATAAGTGCTATATATTGTGCAAATTTTACACACAGGATGACTTCATTAAGTCTAATCAAGTCACCAAGTGGAATGACAAAGTTTTTGTACCTCAAATAGTTGTTAAAAATTCTGATAGGTACATTTTGATGAAGTCATTATGGAAACTAAGTTATTAAATCACTATGAGAATTATAGCATTAGCGTTCAATAGGAAATTATGCTGAATGTTTGTTGAAGGTTGCGATGATCATAATCAACTTGAAACTAAACATACCCTGCGCACTTAGACATTACTGATGCCTAGCTAAAAAAAATTAGCAATCTGCAAGCTGTTTTAGAAGGCACTGCTCTAGTCTGTTATTAGTTAATTCTTTTACATATAAACTGTACATAAAAGGCAACCCAAATAAACAAAAGTAATAACTTATCAACTGTTTTCTTTCCAATACCCACCTTAGAATTCAATGCAGTAGTTGCACTGTTAAGGAGGGTTTCTCTGTCACTCAGTTCAACAGGCTGTCCCATGTTGGTCAAGACTTCAGTGCCTTTTTCCAATGCCTTCTGGAATGACTCCGAAATGATGGTGGGATGAATTCCTAAGCAGAGTTTAGGATATCAATTTATTCAAACTATAGTCAATATACAAATAATAATCTATGACATCAACAATCTGATCTCATAGATTGCTCTCAATGATTTGATCTCACAGAATGATTTCAAATCAAGCTGTCTGTAAAAGAATTGCATAAGTAGTAGGCAGACGGACAAAACCAATCTTGGAATAGCGAAGGCTACTGAAAAAACTGATTAGGAGTTTAAAAACAAAAAAAGCAAAAAACATTGGAAGCAAAAAACATTATGACAAATTATTCATACTTAGTATACTATAACCAGTCTTCCAATTTATCTTTAAAACCATTTATCTTTAAAACCATTACATTAGCCCAGGGGTAGGCAACCTTGGCTCTTTTATGACTCGTGGACTTCAACTCCCAGAATTCCTGAGCCAGCCAAGCTGGCTCAGGAATTCTGGGAGTTGAAGTCCACGAGTCATAAAAGAGCCAAGGTTGCCTACCCCTGCATTAGCCATATGAAACACTGAGAATTTTTTAATCTACAAAAATCTTTCATGTTTTTATGGAAGAGATAACAGGTTGCTTCAGTCACATAAGCCATGAAACCATTACATTATAGTAAAAATTTTCCTTTTTTTTGTATTTTGGACTCATTTTATGAGTCACTCATCAAGGTTTCCATGCAAACAACACAAAGGAAAGTTCCCTCTTCCCCCCCCCACCTGAAAATGTCCAATCAGGTGGTTGCATATTGTTCAACAGGTGCTCGGTTCCCAGTTCTGCATCTCGTTATTTGATTTTGGCTGGCTGAAGCTTCTCACAAGGCTCAGCTGGGCTTCCATTCCCCCCCCCTCTTCCCTCCCTTCCCATCTTTCCCTCCCCCCCCCCCCCCCCCCCCCCCCCCCCCCGCCCAATGTCAGGCTGACAGCTCATGGAGCTTGGATAGGTGAGATGCAGCCATGACAGCCAAAGATTTAGATACAGAAGTTTTCTACTATGACAAAAGATCATCCAGACTATATTTTTATTATTTCACGTTGCATTTCCATATACAAAACTGTATGTAAACATACCTTTCTGAAGAAGTCTGGAACAAGCATCCAGGAGAGCACCTGCAATGACCACAACAGATGTAGTGCCATCTCCAGCTTCAATATCTTGTGCTTTTGATAACTCCACCAGCTACATAATGTCAAATGTTGAAAGAAAAAAATGTAAATTCCTCTATAACGCTACTATAGAGGTTTTTATTAACCAAAAACATGCAATATACAAATGCACACATTTCTAGACAGTTCCATGTCAATGTACTACAGTAATTATTTTCTATAAGGAATATAACCATCATAGTGGCTAATATAATTTGGCTTTAGGTTTGCATTGACATAAATTTAAAAAACTGTATTATTTACCATTTTGGCTGCAGGATGAAGAACCTGCATCTGCTTCAGAATTGTTGCACCATCATTTGTGATTGTCACATCACCTTTACCATCTTGGATCTACAAAAGCACAATCAAGTTTTTGGACACCAACTCAAAAAAGAGAAAATCTACAAACAAAATACAAGTCGAAGCATCAATTTATATTATTGTGCACTAAAAAGTACAAACCATTGGTTCAATATGGCAAACTACTATTTAGCCTAGAGGTTAGAAATATTTTCAGGAACGTTCACGGGCACTAATGTATCCCAGGAAATTTCAAGAGCATGAAAACTCATGAAATTTAGCCATCCTAGAATATTTTAATTATTTTTAATAATTTCAATGTTAGATTCAACAGACACCAATGAATGGCACCACCCTGCTAATTTAGCCTTTGCTGTTTTCAGTACCCATTCTTTATTAAGCTTTCCTTATCTCATAGATTCTCCTCCTGCCACTTCTTGATTGTCTGCCTTGTTAAATTAGCCAGGCGGCTTGACATTGCCCTCTACGCTTCTCTCCCATACACCTTCTTCTTATGCTTGTCTTACCATTCACTTCTTAAATGGCAAAGTGAGACTGATGTATGAGTTTGAATGAAAGTACAATCCTTTCATTTTATCTAATGTAAAAATCATCTGCCAAAGATTCACTGGCAGTTCATTTATAAATACGGTACATGCCAAATAAGATTTATTTCTATCCCTTCGTTTCTCACGACCCTCCAACTTCTTAAGGCGCATGTAGTTACATTAACTAGAATAGCTGCACGAAATCTATTTCACTATGATATTCTAAGCACTTTCCTTGATTACTTCTGAAAACATATATAGAATAGAATAGAATAGAATAGAATAGAATAGAATAGAATAGAATAGAATAGAATAGAATAGAATAGAATAGAAGCTGGAAGGGACCTTGGAAGTCTTCTAGTCCAGCACCCTGCTCAAGCACGAGAACCTACACCATCCCAGACAGGTGATTGTCCAGTCTCTTTTTTAAAACTTCCAGTGATGGAGCACCCACGATTTCTGGGGGTAAGCTGTTCCATTGGTTGATTGTCCTCACTGTCAGGAAGTTTCTTCTTAATTCCAGGTTGCTTTTCTCCTTGATCAGCTTCCAACCATTGTTTCTCGTCCTTCCCTTTGGTGATCTGGTGAACACCCTGGCCCCCTCTTCTTTGTGACAGCCCCTCAGATACTGGAATACTGCTATATCTCCCCTATTTCTTTTCTTTAGACTGGCCAAACCCAAGTTTGTACATTTTGGTCTCCAGACCTTTGATCATCTTAGTTGCTCTTCTCTGGATTTTTTCCAGACTCTCAACATCTTTTTTGTGATATGGTGACCAAAATTGGCTGCAGTATTCAAGTTGTGGTCTTACTAGGGCTTTATAAAGTGGTACTAATACTTCGCGTGATCTTGATTTTATGCCCCAGGATTGTATTAGCTTTTTTTGTTGCTGCTGCACACTGCTGGCTCGTATTCAACAACTTCATATCAGCTTTCAATGGATCTACACGTAGGAGCTCAAATACAAAGTATTCGAAAGTACACTACCATGAGTAAGGCCTTGCAGAAAACATTAATAAAAGCTGCATTTTCAGGAAAATTTGAGATGGCTATATCAAAGGGATCCTGAATGTCTGCACATGCAGAGTTGCTTAGTTTTTGGTCCAGCAAAAATGCTGTCTATGAATGTACTTGAAGACAATTGGTAAAAGCCTTTGAAGTAGTTCATCAAGCCTTCCTGGGAACAGTTACTTTACTGATTTCAGAATGTTTTGTTTCTGCTAATGCATTCTGCAAAACATCTTTCAAATGCTCTTCACAGCCTTATTATAAGCACAAGTATACATATACACACACACAAAACCCAAGCTCAAAACTCACCATTTTATCCATTCCCTTTGGCCCAAGACTTGTCCTAACAGCATCCGCAACCGCTAAAATAGAGATGAAAATAAATTTTATATACCCAAAGAAATTTACTTCAAGTGTAATTTCATTTATTGGATTTGTCATGGCTGCCCACTCCAACAGACATTGGGCAGCCACAAAAAAATCTAATAAATGTGACACTAAATTCTTTAGGATGTTTAAAATACCAGTTTCCACAAAAATACAATAAACTGATTCATATATTAAGCCATTGCTTGTTTAATTATGGTTTGCTAAATAAATTCCAACTTTAGTTCATACATGGGCCAAAAATGAAAAATCACAATATGCATGTCAAATTTTCAAATTATACTAACCCATAAAATATTTGAAAGTGGCTTCTATATTGATTGTATATACTGCCTGTCATAACTTATTCAGCAAACTAAAATGGAACAATCCTGCATGAACTCAATAACTGTGTATGGAAAGCTAACCAATAATGCAGGAAAAATAGCAACAGTAATACTAAAATGTTATAATACTGTTTTATAATCTTATATTAACTGTAAATATATCAGTTATATTTTGGATAGTGAAAGAGCACCATATACATTTAATTATATATTATATTACTTAAGAACAAATGTTATTTGACAATAACATGCAACTCACATGAACAGTAAAATATCTGAAATCTGTTGAAAGGATTATTCTCCCCATATGAATTTGCTTTTGATCTTCAGCTTTTATTTTTATTTTTTTGCATCTGACACCACCTGTGGTTCAGCATCACCCAGCAGAGGATCCAAGAATCTAACAAGCCACAGGCTACCAATCACCTTTCTGTTCCCCCAAGCCTTTTCCACTTATGAATGTAGATCTCCCTCAATCTTAAGCCCTAATCAAATCGACCATATTATGGTGTATTGTGCTGCACAATCAGCCCAAGGAAGCTTTTCTTCTAGAAAAAGTTATTTTATTTCAAATCACAGTGGAAACATTCAGTACAATGACATCCATTACACTTTCTGAAAGTGGGAAAAGAATAGGAAGGGATAAAAGAAATCAGTCCTTTACAACGAATGCGACGCACCTTCTTCCCTTTCGTTTAAAAAAAAAACCCAGAAAAAATAACGGGGCTACAAACAGCAAACTTTTATGCTGCTCGACCCTCTTTATCAGTGTTTCTCAACCTTGACAATTTTAAGGCATGTGGACTTCAACTCCCAGAATTCCACAGCCAGCATTGCTGGCTGTGGAATTCTGGGAGTTGAAGTCCACATGCCTTAAAATTGTCAAGGTTGAGAAACACTGCTCTTTATCTTCAACAAGACTCTGAAAGCGCTTCAGTTCACTCCGACAAAAGAAGCGGATGGCCGAGGGTGCGGTCTTGCGGGCTTTAGGAACCGGGAGTCCCTGCCCGAGCCCGCCAGGTGTCAACGGAGCGGTCCACTCATTCCCTCGTCTTTCCCCCCCCCCTCCGCAATTGGAGACAATGGGCTGTCCCATCACCGTACCTTTCCCCGCAGAAATGTTGCTGAAGCGGATCTGGGCGGGCTTATCTTTATCCTGGTAAGAACGGCGATTGCCGCCAGAGTTGCGGTTCCCTGTGGCCACATTCAGAAAGGCCCCTTTTGTGCTTGCGTTTTCCGGCATGTCTGCGCCCGGATGCCCGCTCAATCTTCCGATGGAGATGGATTCCTTTCCCCCGTCCTGGAACCTGCACCACCAACGTTTCCCCGCCGACCCGAAGCTTCCAGAACGCGTCGGCAGCAGTTGGAGAAGAAAGGACCTTTTAGCAGTCGCTCAGGCTGGCGCTGAAAATGACGTTTCCTACAGGGCTGTCTTTGTAAGTGCCTGATTTCCAGTAAACACGGGAAAGCATGAACGTTTTTTTTGAAGAAGTGACCTCCGAGAAAGGAAAGTATAAATTTGGCATCTATGCATAAATGTCTTGCAGAGGCTGAAGCCGAAGTATTTTAAATAGGACAATAATACCAAACAGCGAATAAAATGGGCATTTAAAGCCACAGGCTGCAGTGTCATTCTTAATTGCCCAACAGTCTGCTGAATTCTCTTCTATTGGCGCGGAATACAATTGGAAGCATCAATTTAACAAGTGCGAAATGTTGCAAATTGTAAAGTACAAAATAGAGAAAAATATCCACACATTTATTCTGCTATTCTGTTTTCTTTCTCTTGAAAACAATCCAATATAAAATGAGTGGGATTTCAAAGTAAATCTGCATAAAAATACAGACTGGTAGAGCTACCGGTATATGGGATTTAAGAACCAGTGATGGACTGTTCTGCTAAAACAAAGCAAGGCTATGGAATACACTTGAAAGAAAATAGAGAAGTCTGTATTTGTGGAGTCTGACTGACAAAGAACAAAGAGCGTCACAGTGTTCTTTATATTTCCTTAGGAAGAGATAAGCGCCTGTATAAATTTGATTAATAACTAACGTCATGCAAGCGTGTAAAAAATAAAACACTTTCACGCTTCTAGGTTAGAAAGAAATACCTTGTATGCCGTGCAACTGAGATCAAGGAACTGGGCTTTCCATTCCCGTCACCAAAAGGGGGCGCAACTGTTCCCAGGAAATAGCGATCGCCTTCCAAGGCACAGTTTTTGTCCCCGCCCGGCTCCCATCCTCTAATCTTTTCAGGTCCAGTTGAGCCTCTTCAAACAAGATGGCGGCTTCCGCGGAGCATCCCTTGCCTGAGCCTGCCAAGCCCTTACTCGGGCTCCTAAATGGTATCGCTCAGGCCACCTTTTATGGCAACACAGAGATCACGGAAGAGCTGCTGCGGGAGCAACTTTACCCGGAATCGTCGTCGCAGGAATTTGGAATTCTGCTGGCTAAAATGAAAGGAATCATCAAGGTAATAGAGGCGGGGCTGGTAGGTTGGCCGGAGTGGGGCAGAGCGGTGCAAAGCGGGAGGGAGTAAAGCGGGGGGGGGGGCGAGCGAGGCTGGTCTGGCAGCTGGGTACGAAATCTATATAAATAAAAATGTAAATGTTCGTTTGTTCAAAATCTTAAATCTCCGAAAGTTCTTCACCGATTGCTTTCAAATTTTGACACAACATTGCATTCGAATACGCGCGTGTTTTTATATACCTACAGATGTCACACCTGTGACAGGTAAAAACATTATATGTTGCGTGTTCTAGAGTCGGCAAACCAGACAATCTCTATATCTGCACAGACAATGGAACAACAAAAAATATTGTATACCCACAAGCATTGTGAAATGAAACATATTACAAACGTGCGCTTTTCTCTTTTCTTTCTTTTCCATTTAACCAGACTGAGCCACAGCAACGCGTGGCCTGGTACAGCTAATCACACAATAAAATTTTTGCCAAGCCCGCACTTTTCAAAAGCACATGAATTAAGCACACTTTCCTTGCATTTCAAAGTGGGGGCAAGAGAGAGAGCCAGCTGGCTAAAGGCGGTATCCAATGCTCGCAGCAATCCTGGATTCGGATGAGAGGCAGGATCAGGCTAGATTTGTCTTCCCAAATCCCCCAGCACCACCGAGGCAACTTCTATAAAGCGGTACAGGTTGGAAATCCTGTAGCAACACTTCTTGAGAGCAAGATTGGGGGTGCCCACCCTTGTAGGAAAAAAATATGTCTTCTCCGGGTTTATTTATCTTCTGGAAAAGACAGCAAGGAGCAATCCCTGAACGTCAATCCCTGTTATCCTCCAAATGCAGCCAGAGGAGTAGAGATAGCTTTTCCTCCTCAGAGCAGCCACTGCCTCCTCTTCTCACTTATCTGCACTTATCTTCAGTTTATTCACTTATCTACAGCTGTGCAGTTTGGGGTTTGTCAAGGCCAGGCCTCCTCCTGCCATATTCAGAGAGGCCCAGCAGGGTTTGGGGCTGGCTCAGGTCTGATCAGAAGTCTCTACAATCCTGCCCAAGGCACAACCTGCCTGGAGGAAATGTAATTTGCTCCATTTAATCCATCTCTCTTCTACTCAAGGGCACTGAAGTCATTTCTCCATGCCACATTGTTCTTAGAAAGAGGAAGAAATGGCAGTTGCTTTCCATGCATTGATCTCCAGTATTGGCACTGACTGATCTCAATTGCCAGAATTTCCTACTTTTATTCCTTAGTTGGTGCAATCTTGGATTTTAAAGCCTTTAACATCTTTTTTCTAATTCAAAGCTAGAATTTGAAATGCATGCAGTTTTTTTTAGAATTTGAAATATAATTTCTAAGTCAAGTTTCAACATTTTCTGCTTCATGAATGTGAAGCAATTCTTTGAACATGCACAAAAGGAATTTCTTTGAACAAGAGGAATCCCTTTTGTCTGAATATTCTGATAAATTGTAATAAAATTATCTTCCTGTCTCAGTTTGTCTCATTGGAAAATATGCATGCCAAGGCAGGAGCCTAAAAATAGCCATATTTGGCCATCAGGAGAGCGTTTAGGGCAGGCATGTCCAAAGTCCGGCCCGCGGGCCATTTGCGGCCCGCGGCCCGGTTTAATCCGGCCCTCGAACAGCCCTCCCTGCGCTATGTAAATGCGGCCCTCCCACGGCCCTCCGGCAAGTCCTATGAGAGAGACAGAGACAGAGACAGAGGCACTTGCACTTGCACTTCTGTCTCTCTCTCTCTCTCATGGGACTTGCCCCCTCGCAGGGCTCCTCATTGGCCCTGCGCCCGGGTGTCCCACCCCCTGGGAGAAGGGCGGCCAGGAAGTCCCTTTCCCGGGCTGGCCCCGTCCCAGGCGCACGTGACTGGGGAGCCATGCGGGGAAGCCCCAGGATCCCCGCTGGGAGCAACCCCCCGGAGCCTTTGCTGAGTGGGCCAGCCCTCCTGTAAGCCGCAGCCATGAGAGAGCAGCCCCTGCGATGTCCAGCCGGCGCAACTGTTGGCCAAGCAGCAGCAGAGCCGGAGATGGAAGGTCAGTGGCAGGGGGGGAGGGAGGGAGCTCTGAGTCCGCAGAGCACCGCCGCGAAGTGACTGCGGGGCAGGTGATTCGCCCCCCCGGCTTACTTGTTCCAGTCTCGGCTGGGGCATCGCTTCCTGGGCCGCTCCCTGGGCAGCCGAACCAGCCACATGTCTCCCCGTGCTGGGCGGCAGTCATGGCTAGTGCGGCGGCCAGCGGGAGCATCGCTCCCCGGGAAGCCGAACCGGCCACATGTCTCCCCAGCCCGGGCCGGACGGCAGTCAGGCATGAAGCTCGCCTGGCTGCCGCAGGGCTCTCCGCTGCCCGGCCCCACCTCGGCCCCATCGGTGGCACCTTCCTCGGGCACTTTCAGGGAGCCGCCGCTGCTGCCCTCGTTGCTGCAGGAGAAGCAGCGGGGGGGGCGGCCGGGCCAGGGGCAGCGACGGGGACCCCGACGATGCTGCAGCGGCTGCTGCCAGAGCCGCTGCCTCCCGTCCTGCTCCCCCTCCCTGCCCGTTTGGCTGAGGACGCAATGGGGCCGCCGCCACTGGAGCTGCTGCCTCCCGTCCTGTTCCTCCTCCCTGCCCCTCCCTGCTTGTTCGGCTGAAGAAGCGATGGGGGGGCGGCCGGGAGCTTCTACCTTCCGTCCTGCTCTCCCCGCCCGTT